AGGGATAATCGCTATAATGGACATAATAAAAATAACAGGATGCAACAATAGACACGCGTCTTGCCTACCAGAGCAACATCAACATCGACAGAGATGCTCTGAATGTATTTTCACAGCATCCATATTCCAAGCACGCTGTGTATGCGATTCCGTGGTACCCACACCGAGAGACATGCTCAGTACACACTTTCGCGGTACGCATATGCTGAGACATGCACTATACACGTTCTCGCAGCACTCACATCGAGAAAGAGATGGGTTGTATATGCTTTAGCTTACCACTCTACATTTCTTTTGTGAAAACTGCATTGGTTGGCGAAGATTCTTGTTTTTGTTTCCTATAGCATCATTTGATTTCCGTATAGTCATCTACTTTGGCGAAAACTCGTAAAATACATCATATGCTTGAAAGTATCACGGCACAAAATACTACCTTTTAATGCATACATCTGGAAAGAAAGCAAAAAAAACCAACTTGTAGCAGTCCAGAACAATGTTGGTTTTTGAGTCGTATTAAATATGCCATGTAAAGGATCTGCAGTAGGTTACAATAGCTTTTAACGGTTAATTGATCATCAAAGGAAAAATTCGATATCTTGTTTTCTTGTTTTCTGGATACCATCTCCTTTTTTTTGTAAAATATGATCTGAAAAGAGTGTTGAAGTGCATAGAATAGAAATTTGGATCCACTTCACCCGCCTCTTTCCCACAGATCGTAACAGATACCTTGGGAACCTATCCAAGACCGTGACAAGCACCAGTTAAACAGCATCACAGGCTATGACAGACCCCTTAACAACGTTCTGTATTTCCGTCACAGAACATGTAAGAGATTGTTGATATTGGATCAAAGACCGTATATCAATAACGTCTCGTTCTAATATATGAACTACTTGCGTTTTGGATTTCTGGGTGATTAAGGCCCTCTCCTCAGAATTGATTTTTCACTTGGGATAGGCCGTTTAAGCTGAAACTTTCAAGAATGAATGATCCCAGTGAAAAACGCTTGTGGTAAAAATTTCAGCCTCATATGCTTGATATGCCTGACTAGACCGAAGTTTCAGCTTGTTTTCCGACCTTCCAGAAGACTCAAAATAACTCCATCATTAGAAGGGATACAGAGCTCGGGCTAATATTAAATTAAAGCTAGCCTCTGTGCGCAACTTTTCGTCGGGCGGAATTTTGAAACTCCTTTCCATTCATTTTTTAGGAGCATTTTTTGAACATTGTGTATAAAACAAGCATAAAAAAGTGTCACCCCATAACAGTAAATCTCACTTTTCTCGGTCCTGGAGTCAAGTATCAAAAATCCGTCCGATGAAAAGGAGTCTATGGTCTTTTTTAATTCAAATTGAATTCTAAAATTAGAAAACCACAGCAAATTCTTCCAAACCAACCGTTTCTCGCTTGGTACTATGTAGACTCACTTAAAACCCTTAGTTCCGTATATTTCGGCAAAGTCCCGCCAAGTCCCACCTCGTCCACCCTTAGTCCCGCCTTAGTCCCATGTACCACGAGACTAAGCACTACAGCCTCCAAAATCCCACGCTCACCCTCACCCTCAGTCGCCCCCTTCGCCCCCCCTCACCCTCAGTCGCCCCCTCGCCCCCCCTCACCCTCACTCACCTCCTCCTCACTCTCACTAACCCCCTAGACCCACATTTCAGTTTGAAATCAAATGTCATTTTTATTTGATGAATTCAGATTGAAATAAAATAGCCCATTGTATGATGAAAAGTTAGCCCTGGTCAAGAGCTTTAAAACAAAAAAAAACATCGATGATACCCAGAACCGAAAGGAAGTTATTTCAATTTTCCTGTCTAGAAACCATGTTTCCAGAAAAACGCTAAAAAAACTTTCCAGTGTGCGTAAAAATATCTTTTTCAGGGGAGTGACATAGTTATTTTGAATAGCATCAATAAAATTTTTTATACCAAATGAAAGCGCATCAAAAATGGAATTTACCAGTATTAAATAGTAAAAGTTATAGCAACTTTTCAATTATCTTCCGATATTCTCGACTTTGAAGCAGACCTGGTTTGAACTACCTCATCCAAGAAAACTTTCTTTGCCAATATGACGTCAAATTCTAGAAACTGCATGAATTTGATATTGAAAAATTGCTATAACTTTTACTATTTAATACTGATAAATCCTATTTTTGAATGCGCTTTAATTTGGCACAAACATTTTTATTAATGCTATTGAAAATGACAATGTTACCCTTCTCCCCTAGAAAAACATTTTTATGCACACTGTAGAAATGGATTCTTCATTAGAATACAGAAGAAATCATATTACAATGGGATATTTTTAATATATTTCAGTGGACCGTTTGAAAGTGCGTGATCGATGAAGGTAGCTAACGTCATCTGATATGCTGGATAATATAAAAATGCTCTATGCAATGATAATATCAGTGGCAACGCAGTTTTTCAGAAGCTGCAAAACTTTAAAAACCACGAAAATATGCTAGTAAACTTAAAGTTTCATGTGATAAGTCTTTGAAAATCTATTCATTTTCCAAAAAGCTATACACATTCTAAAAGAGGAAGCTTCGTTGCATCTTCCTATGATAAAAACTCAACTTTGATATTTTCTTGAACAATTCGATTTTCTAAAGGGGGTTCCCTTGAGTAAAATGATGATGAAGACATGTGTTCGGAAATAGATAGAATAAAGCAATCTCTTCGTGATTAGTGAGAACAGCTACACCGTGTTTCGCATTTTAATTCCACAAGGATTCGCGGTAATAGCTTTTATTTGCTTGCTCGTGCTGGGATTTTTATTTGTTTTGTTACAAGTCATAAGTTAATTATCTCTTATTTTAATGTGTTCTCTTTAATTCATTATTCTTCCTCTTCTTGCCCTTGATCTGACTGTGACATTCGTTTCATATAACCACCCATTTAGTTACATAGTAGGCTATAACGCATACTCTATTGCGTTTATCGATGAATCTGAAACACTATCATTTATGGCTACCGAAATGTTGCATTCAATCGAATTATACTTTGTGTTCAGTCGCAATCAGACTGTGACAAATTAATCGATTACTAACCATTATCATTAACATATATCTTAGAATCATTTATCTATGTTAATAACTAGAATCTGCACTATTAGGAAAATTTTAAAACGTACAACGAGCAGTTTAACTCCACAAAGTGGTTTGGAAGGATCTAGAAAAGTTTGTAAACGCAGCCCCTTTGTAACCGAAAATATGGAACTCACACATCTTCTTTAGTTTCATTTTATACTAATATAAGATATACAATGTGTGAAATCTCTAAAAGACGATAGTTCTTTTTCACCGATGATCGATTGTCAGCAAATGCTGTCTTTTTTATTTCTATCCTTCTAACAAAAATTTTGTTTTCCTTTTCTTTACAAACAGTCTCCCTTTTCGTTTACTCTGTTCTTATTCGCACATTATTTTTCATTTTCGTATTTCGTTTTCTTGTATTTATAATTGTTATTATTATAAGCATTGAATTGAAGGGCAAATAACGCTGTTATAAATATCCGTTATATCTATAGCGGCAGGTCTTAAGGCCTCCCTCCTCCCCTCAAAAAATGTCTGTTTTCATCAAAAATTTCGAAATAGAGATAATTACATGGAAAGATAGCCCGTCTTCAGATCTTTCGAAAACAATATGATTTTTAAGCCGACAACCCCGCTTCGGACAAGATTTTTGATGATTTCCGTTAACGTCTTCTTGAAAAATATGCTTATTTCAAAAAAAACAAAAAATGTTTTTCGTTTTCTCTCAGTTTATGCTTTCGGAACCGCACAATCCAGTTTTCTCTGTCCAGGCTCATTCAATATATTTAAATCTTTTTTTGTTTGAAAGAGCACGTCAAGATGCAGTGCAGTACAGAGTCCTTTTTTTGAATTACGCTTGTTTTTTATTATATATACAGACATTTATGTAGCTAGACACCCATTTTCGGCGCGTTTTTTGAGTCATTGAACTTGTGATCCCCTTTTTCCGCTAAAAAAGTAAGAATTTAAAAAAAAGGACTCTGTACTGCACTGCATCCTGAGATGCTCTTTCAAACAAAAAAAATTAAATATATTGAAAGAGCCTGGACAAATAAAAATGGATTGCCAAATGAGCTATTTTTGACCCTTGTTTGGTTCATATCTCTGTCAAACATCAGGGTATCGAGCTGAAAATTTTACCACAGCCTCCTCACTTCAGCTCCAACATATGCTCCAAGTTTCAGCCCATTTGAACTTTCCTGGGCTGAGATCGATTTTTGAGGGGGGAGGCCTTAACACACTATTATACACCTCGATTAGCTCAGAAACACTATTGTTGATTATGTCCAAAAACTATAACTTGATCAATTCACGCTTTTTATGTTGATCGTATAAAAACTACGGCAAACTAAGGCATCACTGCCCGTTATTGTTGATATCTTGAACATAAATTTTTATATACACGATAGTTAGAAACGGCGTTACTTAGAACACGGAAAAATGTATTCCAGCCATTCCAGTTTCAAGGAAAGTTTCGAAATGTTCTAAAACCTTCTGAGTCTTGTTTTTAATGTCGTTGAGCGCCTTTAACTCCAGTTGATATGATCTGTAACTGCGAGGGGAATAATGGGAGCCAAAAAACTTCGACTTAAAACTTGCACTCACTGTTTTTGAAGAAAATATATGCGAGTTTCACAAAGTTTTAGGAGGTTTTAAGTGACTTTTCTACCATTGCCCAGACTCTTTTCTCACTTCTAAGAGATTTTCTGTGTATTCCGAAAGAGACAAGGGGGCTTGTCTTATATCGATCGATTTTAGTTTCTGGCAGGGGCGCAGTTATTGACCTTTGATCTCGACTTCTGGCACATAGAGGCAAACTAAAAAAGCTTCAATGAAACTTAGATTTTTTATTCTCTTTCTAAAAACATGAATGTCCTCCAAGATGCATTAAAACCGTAGCGGGAACATACAAATCAGAAACTTCAATACTCCTTTTAGATCGTGTTTCACAAAAATGGATTCACCGAAAAGTAAAGTTTACGGATATAAGAAGAAAATTTGGTATGCACCGAATAAATTCGAATCATATGGCGATGAAGAAATCAAAGCTGTTGAATCCTGCCTACGAAAAGGCTGGCTTGCACCAGGTCCCATTACTGAACAATTTGAACGAGAAATAGCAAGTATCTTTGGAAAAAAATTCGCTGTTATGGTTAATTCAGGTTCATCAGGCAATATATTGGCATTGCTCATTGCAGGTTTGAAAGCAGGTGACGAAGTTATTACACCTGCGTGTACCTTTGCTACAACTGTTGCTCCTATCGTTCAACTTGGTCTCGTACCCGTATTCTGTGATGTCGAACAGGGTTCATATGTATCTTCTGTTGCACAAGTCATTGAAAAAGTTAGTTCACGCACAAAAGCTTTGTTCCTTCCAAACCTAATTGGGAGCAAACCGAATTGGCAAGGATTAAAAGATGAATTATTTATGTTGGGTCGTCGAGATATTTTACTCATCGAAGACTCCTGCGATACAATCACGAGCACTCCAATAACAGATATTGCTGTTACCTCATTTTACTCCAGTCATATTATTACAGCAGGTGGTGGTGGAGGAATGGTTATGTGTAATGAGAAGAGTCAACGTGATCTTGCTTTACAATATCGTGATTGGGGGAGAATGGGTACGAACACTGAATCGTTCTCAGAACGTTTTGGTCATTCTGTTGACGGCATTGAATATGACTTCAAATTCTTGTATCCTATTCTTGGTTATAATTTTAAATCGACTGAAATGAATGCTGCATTTGGTCTAGAACAGTTAAAAAAACTGCCATTATTTCTTGAGAAACGTCGTCAAAATATAGATCGTTTTGTGCAACAACTCAAAGAACTAGAACCTTATGGTCTTGTACTCCCCAAAAATCATGACAAAGTAGATTGGCTTGCATTACCACTCGTGTTACCGAACCGCAAGGTCCTGCTTCAAAAACTTGAAGACAGCGATATACAGACACGAGTGTGTTTTGCAGGTAATATCACTCGACATCCTGCCTACCGACAATACTATCAAGTCTTTCCGAATGCTGATGAAATTATGAAGAATGGTTTCTTGGTCGGTGCTCATCATGGCATGAATCAAGAAGATGTTGACTATGTGTGTGAAGTAATCAAAATGCACGTTTACTCAAGTCAATCATCTAGCCACATTAATACATAATTTTAACATTAACTTTATCTTTCGTCATTGAAAATCAGAAACAATTGATCTCTCTCAGTTGTTCGTCTACTTTTTTCTCTATAATAACAATAAAATAATGATTAATAACATGCATGGTGTTCAGTTTTATCTTTGATTAAATAGCAATATTAAGATCAAATTGTTAAATTATATAATAAAAACTGATTGGAAATGTTTTATTATATCATTTTATTATCAACATAAGCTACAATTAGATGTGTTAGTCTATCGACTAAGCCGTCATCACCATCATGATATAAAAATAGAGAATTAGTTTTTGAAAATTTTCGGCATCTAAGATCGATTTTCTAGTATATTCTTGTCTAGTTTCTAATCAAGAAGTTCTCTATCATCATTTTCTCTATTATTCATTTCAAAGTTTCTCTGTTCTAAGAAAGTTTTTAAAAAAGGACATTGAAACATTTGAGCTGTCGTTACTACCGCCGATCAGTTTGTAAGCTTGCACACCTAAATATAATTTTCTTGTATCGAGGATATTGTTAACTTCCTTATGAAGACAGAATTATAATAGAGCTGTCTGCAAAATCTAGATTTTAATTATTACTAGCTGAATGGTTGGTTATTTGTTTATTATTAGGCTTTTGCTGATTCTAAAATGAATCGCTATCTAGTTATTTGCAACGTTAATAGAATATGTAATCAGCGATTATTTTACAACTTCGTTGTTATGTTAACAATGGACAGGTTAGTTTTGAGCATCACCAGCTAGGATATGTGTGAGGGTGCGTAGATGTAAGTAAAAGAGGAATCACACCCATACTACATCTTCCTTTGGCATCTATATGATTACATATATGATTAGTTTCATACAAAAACTACTATGGAACTTTTCTGAATGAAAGAATTATTTTTGGTCAACGATAGAGAAAATTGCAAGCTTTCAGAATGAGTATCTTTATTCAACTTGTCGTCATCTTCACAAAATCCTTCGTCTAGAAGTAAAATTTGAATGTCTTCTTCCGCAAAAGTGTGCACTACCTTAGCACTTTTCATGGTTTGAAACATAAGGTAAACTCATGGCTAGGTGATCGTCGACGTCGATCATTTATTCAAGACCAAGCTTTTGAAAACTACTTGAACGAAACCATATATTGTTATCGCGCGTATAAGACTTCATGCCTGGCTAAGGATGTTCAAAAGTATCGAGTTTGAAATGGTCACCTTCAAGAGGAGAACATCGTCAGATCTGAGGAAGAACTGTAATATTACGGCTCTGTAAGAGTGGACGAGAGTAAGCAAAAACAAAAGAATCTCAAGCCCACATTCATCATCGTCCACACTCGTATTCTGATTGAGTTTAATTTGTTATTTTGGGTTATTATTAAAAGAAGATAAAATTAGAGATGTTGGTCATCAACTGAGTAGTTGTCACAGCTGTGGCATAAAATAGAAACTTGGTTTTTAAAACTTTCAACATCTAGAACCGGTTTTCAAGGATGTTCTTGCCCAGAGTGGATGCGAAGTGTGGACGCAGAGGTTGATGGAGAGAAGAATCCTAGCCACTTCACACTCATCACTTATCAAGTATTTCCCATTCCTATTAGTTCTCTATTTGGTTCTTTAGGAGCGTTTTTCCAGCAAACAGTATTGAACTTTCGTTCAAAAAAATTGTTACGCAACCTACAAATAGCTGTTTATTGTGTTACAATCATTAAAAATAATGCGTGTTCAGTGAACATATTCACATTTGGCTATTTAGAAGTTTATTCAACGAGAATTCATGGTACTTTAGTCAGTAACCTACTCTTTGTTAATTCACCATCAT